TGTTTCGGAGCTCTGAAGTGATAAATATAGTTGATATGTTACTAATGAGAAGACAATTCATGAGATGTGAGTACAAGAAGACGGTGATTTGGGGTGAAGTTGAGGGTGAAGTTCTGAGGGTGACTTACAGAGGTGAACAGGGGTGAAGAACCTGGTGATGGGGGGTTTTGGGAAAAAGTTGATGTGTTGAAGTTGAGAGTGACTTTGAAGAGGTGGAACAGGGTGAAGAACATGGTGATGCTGTTGAAGTACAAGTTGAAGGTCATGGTGACGTAGAACATTTCCATGAGGTTGAAGAAGATGTTAATTGTGTTGAAGGAGTTGTGGAGGACCAAGGTCAGGTTTCTAGTTGGAGTATATCTACTAATGAACGTGATGAACGTGATGAACGTGAAAATAATGAGTGCTTAGAGGGACTTGTGGATGTCAGTGTTCAATGTGATGTAGATGGTGATATAGATGGTAATAGTGGAGTGGAAGTAGAAGTAGAAAGTCGTGAAGCACCTGATGATGTGAGTGTGAAAGTGATGAACCATGCATAGGAGGTTTGTCGGATGAAAGAGTGGAATCTGAGGAACATTACTTACTGCAACAGATAGTGACTGATGTAGTTACTTGACATTGAAGGTATGGGAGTTTAGTACTTTTTGTATGCACAAAAAGTATGGTGGACTTTACATGTGAGTTTGGAAGTTCAGCTTCAAGCTCAGCTTCAATTTTGCTCATGGTTTCTGAACTTTGTTCTACCTTTTGATGACATGATTCTTTGGAGTCATTTCTAGGTGAGTTATCTACATGCTTTTCAGGGGAAAATTCATTTAGCTCCTTATCATAAGAGGAATGATCACAAGTATCCTGCGAACCATAATTTTCATTCTGTAACTCCTTCACAGTCATTGAATCTTTCATTTCAAGTTCCTCTTGTAGATCTTGAACCAGGTTTTCAGTCTGCTTCAACAACTCTCTTAACTTGCCTATTTCTCTTTTATTTGCCATAATGGAAGTCATCATCCCAAAAGAAATCCCAAGACTGAAGAGAAGTGTTTTATCTGATGCATGTAGACATGTTAACGAATTTAGTAATCAAAGTATAACATTTTACATTTTACATTATCCAAATCAAGTACCTAATACACGTTGTCCACTCATGAATAAATAGCAACCTAATTAATTTCAAAGATCTATATTTGCAGCACCTTATGCAGATGATATTTTTGGTTATAATTTACAAGGCTAGGCTTGATCAAAACAATTAAGATCAGATAATAAAACCCTTTGATAATTAATGCTGGGAAAGTTGCTTTAGGATATGAAGCAATTTCACCCAACCTTTAGCCCTCAAAAAATATCCATTTGCAAAATAACAATGATATTTTCTATTGTGTTTCAATATCAATGAGATTCCTTTACAACTTTTATCCTCATAACACAGTAGGAGACTGTTACTAAGCATAACACCAAGAATTTAAAAAAATATACATATTATCATCCTCAAGAAGAGTAACTAACAAGTGTGATTCCTACAACAAAAGAAAAAAGTTCTAAGCATAACCATGAACAACAAAAAGATAAATCAAGCATTTGTAACACAGCACAGGGTAAGGAGGTATTGTTTAAAACAAGAAATATCATACCATATTGCTGAGTATGGACAAGACTTTCACTGCACACACTGTCAGAAGAGCTCAATCTTCGACTTCTCCCAATGACTGCATAAAATTTCTCCTTAGCCTCATTTACAGATCTGACTTTTGGTAAGGAAGGAGGAACCCCAAAGACGTTTTCATCCTTTATTCTACCACCTGCTTTTTGTAGCTTATATTCCTTGCTTTCAAAGGAAGTACTATTCTTTTCTCTGTTGATTATTTGGCTTCCATTGCTAACAAGAAATGATCTCGTGGCTGTGGACTGCGATGCAAGAGAACCAAAAACATATTCTTCGGTTTCAGCATGCTCCTTGTATAGCTGAGCCATAAAGCAACTTTCTAGGGAACTTAAAGGTCTAGTCTCACGCCCAGACAAAAGCTTCATCCTGAGAAGGGTTTTGTGTCCAGAAGAGTTGTTGACAGGAACCATTTCAGCAGAAGAATCTGGAATAAGGAATCCATGATCACCGCCAATGCCAGAGCTTTGGCCATTTGAATCATCAACAGCCTTGAAGTTATCATCATATGGTGATAAGGGCATTGCTAAGTTTGCTAAAGACAGAACATCATGCTTGCTATAATTCCAAAACTTATGCATTTTTTCACTGTTAAACCCTCTGTCAGAAGCCACTTCTCTTGTCACAATACCATCCTGAGTGTACAGATCTGAAATCCTTCCATCAGAACAGACATCCTCGGCCAAATCATCTCTTCGGGCTTGTTTAGCAAAGGGAGAGGGGCCGCTTGAGGTGACAGGGTTCTCAAAATATGAATCCTCGGAAGACACGGATCTATCACCATGTTTTGCAACCCTGTTCCAATATTTAGCCAAATAGCCAGCTCCAGCAGCAGCTGCAACAACCCATAAATCCATTCTATCCTTCCTGCCACTACCCAAACTCCACAGCACAAGTCACCACTTTTCTTTCAATAATTAGCACCAGACAGCATAGGGAAGAACCTTCCATGAATTAGAGATATAACCTTCAACTCTTCTACCAATAACAAACAAAAAAAACCCAAAAATCCACTTCTTTCTAAACCTTAACTCACCATACAAATATTCTTCCTCCTAAACCAAACCCAACCCGAAACATTCACTACCCTAAAGTCAAAACAATAAGAAACTACTCCCCAGTCACCAACAATACGCGAACTCACAAAACTAATAAACAAATAAGAACCTAATCTACCAGAAACAGAGGAAATGAAAAGGGTTACTTCAAATGCAAGAGACAAGCACAGTTTATTACAGCAAAATTAAACTTTCATGGGAGAAACAAAACCCCATTTGACCGAAAAGAACAATAGAAGCTTACCCACACAATTTACTCACTACAACAAAACAACACAGGCTTTTAATTTTCTGGCATTGCAGAAAGGAAAAAGAAAAAATGAGTTTGTATTGGGGAATCGGTGGTGAGTGTTGTGAAAGGAGATATATGACATGAAAAGGAGTCGAATCTTGGAGCTTAGGTACCTCCAAACACAATGAATAAGACCTGCTACAGCGTTATCTCCACAGAACAGATACAATACGACATTTTCACGACACAAAAACACTAGTCGCTAATGAGATAGCACAAGGATAAGAAAATAAATAAACATTTATTCTTCTGCATAGAAATTTCGATGCTGCTCTTCTCTCTCTCCAGTTTTTATAGGGTCCATTGGAGTCTCATCCATATTACCCTATTATGTCTTCGAATATGAGAGAGAAAGAGTGGGAGAGAACGGTAAGAATGAACGATAATAAACAAGGAAAGTGTCTTGTCTTCTGTGTTCACCGTATTTTCTAGGTCACCTTTTCACATTTTTGTCAATGAGTACATGGATTATTCATTTTTTTTCAAAATTAAAATCTAAATATATTGGAAATAATAAATGGAAGAAATAAGAGATTAAAATATTCTATAATTATTTTCGCCGAGGAAAAAAAAATCCAAAAAGTGAAATTGTAAAAATAATTCTTCAAAATATTTTCAGTGAGAAAATTATTTTAGTGTTGGAGTTAGAAAAATATTTCAAAAGTCACAACTGTTAAAATCTTTTATTGAATAAATATTCGATTATTTAGTATATATTTTACTTTTAAGATAATAAGAACAAATCTACATTAATACAATAATTTTAAATCTCTTAATTTTGTTTATAATGGTTAAGGTTTAATGTCTCAATAGGTCCCTATTTTCGTCCCAAATTTGAAATAGGTCATGGTTATATTTGAAGTCTTAATTAGATCCTTATTTTTGTTAATTAGATGCAAATAAATCTTTTCCGTCAATTTCAGAAAACGGCGTTAAGGAGTGCGTGACGTGGCGTGTGTGAATGCAATTTTTTAATACTCAGATATTTTGAATGAAGTAAATATAGTATAATCCATGCTGAAATTAAT